TCCTATTTTTTTAAATTAGTAAAATAGTAAAAATATATGTTTTTGGGGGGCTGAAATTTTTTATGGGGCTAAAATATTTTTTGGGGGCCAGAATAAAGTTATACTGTAATTTGTTGTGAGTTCATGCACTGTGTTGGTTTTGTTCTTTGAGCAAGGTGATGTTAATGCACGGCTCATTTTATACATCAGTAAAAAACATATACCTATGTCTTGAATTTGGAAAAAATATCATATTTTATTTATGACTAAAAAGGGTTCAGTGAATACCCATATGAAATATATGTTTTTGGGGGGCTGAAATTTTTTATGGGGCTAAAATATTTTTTGGGGGCCAGAATAAAGTTATACTGTAATTTGTTGTGAGTTCATGTACTGTGTTGGTTTTGTTCTTTGAGCAAGGTGATGTTCATGCACGGCTCATTTTATACACCAGTAAAAAACATATACCTATGTCTTGAATTTGGAAAAAAAAATCATATTTTATTCATGACTAAAAAGGGTTCAGTGAATACGCCTACGAAACTGGTGGGTTCGGTACCTCAAAACAGGTTAAGAACCACTTATTTGGTTAAGACCAAATTATGTTAAGAATGGAAGGAGTTGCAGCTGTTTTGGTCGAACCTTGAAAATAACGTTTTGTGCAGTATTTCACACAATTTCTTATGAGAAGTCAGCTGTGATCATGTCAAATTTTCAGTCGTTATCTGTAAAAATTAACTAGTTTTAGCCAGTTTATAAGATAAGATAAGATAATTAGTCGGAGTGCAACGATGCAGAAAATTCACGATTAGGTTTGGTTCAATACCTTAGTCTCACGGTTCGATATTTTTTTGATACAAAAAAAGAGAAATGTCCATGCACTTTTTAACTTGTAATTTATTTAAATTAATTATGGACATTTGTTTAACCTCCAAAGTATAGTTTTTTTAATTAAATGTTGCTGAAACAGCAAGTTTCCCAATGCAGCCTAGGTGGAGTAGTCGAACACAGATCCACTGATCCTTGAACACAGAGCATCTTCAAAAGACAAGCTGATAAAATAAATTTGAAAAATCTGTATTTCTCAATACAAGTGTGTATTGAATGGTTCAGTATGGGTACATGTATTGTTGCACCCCTAGTAATTAGCTATGTCAGCCATCGCTCCAAAGGTTAGTGGTTTATTTGGATTTTTGCTAACAGAAAAACAGGGTTGACTCCAAAACATAAAGCTAAGGTTTTGGGTAAAGATGTTGTTCAGTGTATTGAACACCAAATTTTGATTTATATACATGTGTGTGTTTGCTTGGATTGGTTTGGTGTGGCGGCCATCTTGAATTGAGTTGACTCCATCACTTAGGTCCAATACTTACAGTACCTTCTGAGAGTTTCAGAAAACTCTATTCATTGTTCATGAGATATTTTGCTGTCAGCACAGACGAATAAACGTGCATGCTGGCATTTTATCAAGTTATATTGTTTTCATACAGTTTTTTGTTTTGGTTTTTTTTTTTTCATTATTTTTGGTCAAACAGAAAACCACTGTACCAATCAACAAGAAATTTGGCAGGATTGTAGATGTGTCCAACCTACACCGTGCCAGCCGACAGTTTTACAATAGACCCCATATTTGCGGAGGGGGCTCCATCTGAAAAGGGAGTGTCTGAACATATAAAAATGCTTAAAACTCAAAAACTTTWTTCCTTTTTTTAGCTCWAATGAAAGGTTAGCCATCAAATGACTGTCCCCCACTTCCTCCGGACCTCCACCCAAAACATTTAGTCTGTTCTGGTGACTTCTGAGTCCTGGTGCATTGGTGCTTTGCATATGTGCGGGGGTCATATATGCTRCTGCTATGCGGTTTCACGTTATTAAATAATGAATGCATTATCCCTTTACCTCTACAAAGGCATTGCTTGCTTTTTACAGCAAGCAATAACAACAGATTTGTAGGTTTTGAAGTAATTTTTTTTCTATAAATCAATGATGAGTAGTTTAAAATGAAATAAAATTTAAGCTATAATACAATACTGGCTTTTAATGAGGAGAAAATGTATTTATAACTGTGTGTAATCAGTTTCCTACATTAGTTGCTTTTATTKGATTAGAAAGTCTAATAAAATGTTACCTCTGTAAGCGGGAGGCTACTGCAAGCTCTGGAGAGAACAGTTTTCTTATATTTATCTTTTTTGTGTCTCTTCTTTTACAGATAACTACTGGAACGCTGCATCATTCACCACCCCGTCATCCTACCTGCATTTCCCAACTTTTCAGGGAGAGACCAGCGCTGACATCTCTTTTTATTTCAAGACGAGCTCTCCCTACGGCGTCTTTCTGGAAAACCTGGGCAACACGGACTTCATCCGCCTGGAGCTCAAATGTAAGACACTTCTGAGAGGTTTGATGGCTGCGTGAGAGTCATTCCTCTGTGTGGTTCTTCTATGCTTGTAAGTTGAGTCTTTATGTAGTCGAGTGTGTTGGGCTGACAGTGGGTGCACCTCATAACACACACATTCAAGGCTTGTGCAAGCACACACACCAGGAACACCCATTTGCCTTCCTGATTATTACACACACTTTGTGTGATTGCAAGGGAGAGCAATCATTTATTTAAGGTAATTGGTGTGCAGAATAATTATGTCCRTTATGAACCTCTGTTTAAACCATTCAACCATTTCCAGAGATGACATAAAACAAAGCCTTTGTTCATACATACACTCTCTTTTTTTTCTTCTTTTCTTCTTTGTGAATAGGAGCATTTTAATTTCTGAGGGAATATTAAAAAAAAACAACATTTTCCATCACGGCACAGACGTACAGTCCACCCACACACTGAGTGATGCACTGCTGTCTGTGAGCAGAGTAAATGTCTTTGTGTTTCAGCGTTCACTGGCTACATCACTCTGAAGACACAAACAGTCTTTTGCAGTCCAAGAAAGTCTGCAGGTTCACGTCAACTCTTTTGCTATTCGCACATAAACACACTCTCCCCGGATTCTTTCAAAAGCATCCACAGCTCTCATGTTTTCACTTATAACTCACTGAAATTTGCGACTTTTTGTAATAACTTGAGATTAGTTAAATAACTGCACAGCGGTCAGGATTTAAAACCAGTCAAACTGTAAGAAAAATACGTATTCAATAAAGTGAAGTCGATATTAAAACCACCATTGTTGAATAAAATGATTTGTMGAAGGAATCAAACCATACAACACCAGAATTCTGGAACTGAGTGAGGTTTATTGTCATTTGAGCTGACAGGAAACCAACCTGGCGAAAAACCAGGAAGTTCATCAATTTATACATGGTTCCTCAATGCCTGTGTTCGCCCCCTACTGACCTACAGCTGAATCACAGGCATTCAGACAAAAATCTCATCTACTGCTATCATAACGTTTTAATTATGTGTTGTTATAATTCGGACATGTAACTAATCTATATCAATCAAAACATAATAGATTAAACATTGTCAACATTATAAAAAGGGAAACCTAAAAATATAGTGTTGTGCTTTTAACATCAGTACTAACCACTAATAACTATAAATTTCTTCAAAACTGCTGCAATTAACATGAATAAATCCTCCGTAGGTCTATGGAGGAAAACCGATGTATGTTGTGTGTTTTAGATGACAAGCCGCTAAAAATGTCAGTTTTAGTTCCTTAAAAACCTTATTTAAGTACCAGCACATTTCTATAACAAAACTAAAGTGGTTCTTATTGGCCAATACCAAAAGTAAAAGAGTCATGATGTTTTTGCCCATGTCTCATG